TAGATAAGTTGTTAAGCTTTTATTTTTAGTATATAGATTGTAAGTAGTCGCTAACCCATTGTTAAAAGGCATAAAATAAAATCAATATTGAATGGAGATGCTAAAAAATTTAAATGACTCTAGCTAGAGTCTAGGGCATTACCATTTGTTAGGGGCTATTCTCTTGTCTCGTGCAATATATAGCGCTATAGCGCGTCCGATGCTTATCTCATCTTGCTTGCAGCTGATTTGCATGCGCCGCGCACACACACGCACGTGTACAGCGTACAGTGCACACACAGGCGGTGGCGGTGGGCGGGGCTGAGACACGCCCACCGCACCATCGATGACGTCACTCACCGTACCCACTGCCAAAGGACTGAGGAAGGTCTATACTAAGATTGTTAATGAAATAGTTTACGCACTACTGTTGTAAATTAATTTTGGGTCAATCTATATAGGTACGACGCTATACTATGTGTATATAAAGAGATATTTCTGCTATTTGTTTAGAGTTTAAAGTGTTCTGTTATTGCAAATATCGTCAAGCCAAGACCTTTTTCATAGCAATTTCAGTCGTCACATTTCAATTTCACTCGACTGGGATAGACATTTCTATTAAAAGTAAGTACCCATGTACAAGTGACAATATTGTAACGTAGCCAACGTCATTAAATTATTCACCTTAAATATGGCTGAATCACTATAATAAATAAGTTTCAATCCCATAGAAAGTACGGATATTTAGTTCCCAGCTACTGAGTACTCGTAAAATATATGTACAGGTAGCAAAGTCGCAGGCAGTAGCATGTAGCCAATGTACCTTGCGCAGAGATCGAACGCGAGCTGTGGATCACACCGTGCTATGAAACCTAGTATCTAAATCCTGACTACAACAGATTTCCAATTTTATCTAATTTACAGTTTTCGTACGAAAACTTAAAAAAATATCTGTAGGTACGACATATATTTTAACCACGACAATCAATTAGAAATCAAATTCCATATACCACGTAAGTAGGTAGGTACTAGTCCATATGGAATCCGGTTTGGGAACAAAATATTGAAAACCGGAAATTGTATGATTTTAAAATGTTAGCATTAATTAGTTATTTCAATTTCCGGCTTACTGTGACGTTCTATCGAAAAATGTTTTCTACAAAAGTTGTAGGCCTCGTAAAAATCTACAACTTTTTATAAATAACACTTTTTACAATAAGAGTTTCTTCTAGCTATCACTACATCAAAATCTGTCCAGTGGGTTTCTCGTGATGCGGTCACAGACAGACACACAGACAGACCACCGAGAGACAGACAGACAAAAATTCTAAAAACTATAGATTCGGCCTTTGTATCGATAATAATGACTATTTCAATAAGATTTTGTAAAAAATATTTATGTAATGTATCTACAGATTTGATTTAGTTAGAATTTTATTATATGTATAGATAAATAGATATTGTTACATTATCGCTCGAGTTACATAAAATGATTATAACAAAAATATACAAGTTCTCTATCGATATTAGATCGTTCGTGTATCCGAACAATGTTAATATCAGAATTAGAGCATATAGCAATAAATATGGGATTTTATTACTAGAATGAATATTAGCGGTAATGTTTATAGTCACGAAAATTGTATAGATAATTGAACTCTACATTGTAAGTCTTACAAATTATTACAACACGTATGTGCTGTTTTGTAAAACCTGAAATACTATATCATTTATCATTTGTACAGCATGCGTGATGCGAGTATTTATAGAGAACATTCAGATTGTTATCTGTTATTTCAAAACACGAATATAAGTAGGTACGTTGGATAGGGAGATGTTATGATTTCATTGATAGCCCTTTCTTATTAAGCGGCTTGAATTTTAAGGTACCGAAATTTAGTAAGAACTACCACGATCTTTTTGACCTGACATGTGCCTACTAGAAACTTTAATTTCCAATTTTTTTTATTTTTGCGAATTTTATAGGTTATGTTGACCTAGAATTGTTGTGTTTTGGTTAAAAGCAAGGTTTTACACAAGCACAAGAAAAGGGAAAAATCTGAAAAGTAAAAAAAGTTGAAAATTAAAATTAATTTTGGTACTTACAAGTTTTCGCGAAAACCTAAATTTGCCCTTATCTTTTTATCGTGTTGACTCAGGACCTGGTTTTCATACACCGAATAGGGACTATAGACCTCAGTATCTGGTATATATAAATTTCAACTTGCTAGGTCCACCCGTTCCTGAAAAAATCGGTGGTGACATACGGACAGCCAGACGAACAGACGGACAGACATACAAGAGAGTGATCTTATAAGGGTTCCTTTTTTACCTTTTGAGTTACGTAACCCTAAAAATAGCAAAAGATTTCATCCCGTATGACATAACTCTTTGTTTGTAAAAGGAATGCTGCTAACTTCATCATGACGATTTTTTACAGCGATCATGGTCACGGGAGAGACTGAGGCTATAGACGTCTCAAAGGCATTTATCACGGTAATATTTATGCATAGCGTTACCGTGGCATTATACACTTGTTACAGACAGTGCCTACCCACTATTTTACAAAAATTATTTTAAAAATGGCACCAAAGTACCTTACAATATTTGTTGATTTTTATTTTTAAATATTTTTTTTTTTATATTATTATAACTAAATATAGCAATATTACATATTTAATTTTAGCTGTTATTATTATAAATATTACATTTTATTTAAACTTTATTAATTACTAATATTATTTAGTGTTGCTATTATTATATTATGTATAACCATAAAGAATATGAAAAAAATTAAAAATATTATTTATTTATTTAAGCAATATTATTGCTTTATAAGTAATTTAAAAGAAGTTAAAATATTAATTTAGATGGCTATTATTTAAAGTTAAAATATTAAACAACACTGTTGCTACCTTTATAGACAAAAAAAATATTAATCAGAATTACTATGTACTTATAGGCAGTGGTGGCCCAGTCGTAACGCACTCGCTTGGAAAACCGAGTGAAGCGGTTTTAAATCCCGGGTCTCGCACCTTTGATATTTTCATGTGCGAATCATTTCTAACATGATTACCACTTGTGTTACGGTGAAGGAAAACATCGTGAGGAAACCTGCATGTCTGAGAAAACCTAGCAAGTTTTCGAAAGTCATGTGAAGTTCGCCAATCCGCAATTGGCCAGCGTGGTGGACTATGGCCTGATCCCCCTCGTATGAAGGGAGGACCGTGCCCAGCAGTGGGATGTTAAAAGGGCAGAATACATACATACTATGTACTTATGTCTGTTGTTATGTTGTAAATAGTGTATTCCCAAAAGGTTTTCAGTAAATTAAAAATGACCCTGTATATTTTACAAAAAATAATGTTTGACGACAGGTTTGGCTCAGTTTATCCCATCATCTCATCTTCATCAACTCAGCGGCACAGCAAGTAGCGACTCTACGTCCTCTGGCAGCGGTCGCGGGTTCGAGTACCACTGGCGGCATTCATTTTAGAGATGAGCACGAATGCTTGTACTCCAGTCACGGGTGTTTGTGTTTATTATATTATGTATGTATTTAAAAGTTATATATGTGTAGTGTATTAACTATCTGATCTAACTATCTAACTTACTATGGAACGATATAGGATGGATTATTAAGATGGTGCCGTGTGTTAATGTCCCAACATATTTATATTCAATATAATATGTATATGTTCTGTTCATATCATTGCTTTAATATTTAATCATTACTCATATTAGATCTTTTAGTGTTTAAAAGTACTGGTAATACTTTTGAAGTAACTTTGAATGATTTTTTATACGACTTTAAAAAATATATAGATAAAGCGATCAATTGGGACGTTTGTTTTACGTTGTTGTGTGTAACTACGAGTATGTCTTACCTATACACTAGCGTTTCACCTTTACTTCGCTCAGGTTCGTCCCAAGGTACCTACGTTTTGATGCTTAGTATGGAACAGATTTTTCTTTTCAAATATATTTTTTTTCGTGAATTTTTCCGATATTTTAATAGTTATTTTGCTATTCGGAGTGAAGACAAATCCAACAAAACAAAGATCATAAAAATCTATCCAGCAGTTCTCGAGTTATAAGTGTTGTAACAAACCCGATTTTGTTTTATATACATAGGTACTAGCAGAACCCGCGGCTTTGCTCGCGCTAAAACTACTTTCATTCTCTATTTTACCCCCTTATAGAATGAATTTCGAAAAGTGCTAAAACACGTATTTATTTAATTTTATTGAAGAGTTCTTTAACTTCAAGTAATTATGATTCTAAATATTTTTTTTGGATTGTATTATACGTGTTTTCTCGTGGGAATTAGATAATCTCCTCTCTCTCCACACAAAAAATCACGCCAATATATCTCTCCGTTTCGACGTGAAAGAAGGACAAATCTTATTGAAATAGTCATTATTCTCTATACAGAGCCCGAAATTATAGATTTTTGAATTTTTGTCTGTCTAGATAAGTATATATTATGTATGTTACATAGATAAGCAAACTAACGACTTATCCTCGCTTCGCTCGGATGCGTCGGGTGACTGGATTTACCTTAGGAGATAAGACATAGGGACATATGGTATGTAGGTGGGTATGTAGGTGGTATATCTACCAACGCGGATATTTCTGTAGGCCTTTTTAAGTTATTTATTATCATTTTTATTTAAGAAGCTGTCATAGTTGATAAGCAACAACTAGGTATTAGACTACCTACCTACTCAATACATATTTGGTATCTCGTTGGGGGCTTTTAAAATTCTCCATAATCGTTTACTTCAAATATGACACTACATTTTATTCGTTAAAATAGTTGAGCCACGTTTATTACTCTATATTGCTCTCAATATGAGGCACTAAATGAATATGATAATGAATACCGTTTTAATTACGCGACATATCCGCAGCGGCGCTCTAGGCGGGTAGGTACCTACTGCCTACGAGACATGGAGCAAATATGTAACATTTTATAACTGGACTAGCCTATATATTAGTGCGAGTGTGTGATTTCAGCAATGCCCGGCGCCGCCGCTGCGCCCGGCTCCTACCGACGACGACCTACACCTATACGTATACCTGTCGAGTCGTACATCACGAGACATATCACCGAGAGACGTCAAGTGTTTGCATGGCTTCAGTTTAAATTAGCCCTATGATCTGATTGATCGATATTGGAGCTCGATACATAGCGGGGAGACTTGCGAGCGGGAGGGGGCGGCGGGGGAGGGGGTTCAGTTGGCACGCCAGGCATTCATATCGCTCTCCGCTATGGAGCTCGCTACGAGGCCTTGCTCTCAACGATCGCATTAGCATCGTATTATCACTTCAATATGTAAAACTTAGTCATGTACGAGCGTTATGTTACTCTTGGGTTTCGAATGTTACTTGATACTTTCACTACACTTCATGTCTTAATAAGTATACATACAGGCACTTTTATGACACATTCCGTTTGCTGTAAACAACTTTAAGTTAAGGATTTTCCTTATACATATAAAAGCTGATGTGATACCTACTGTGTATGTGTGTCTGTTCGTATGTAAAAAGCGCTGCTTTCTTGCTTTATCGGTATACGTTAACCAAGTGGTTGTATTTAAGTGAAAACAATACATATGTGACAAAATATGTGAAGAAATTTGTTAGTTCAGCGAAACTTTAACAATTTAGTATACTATCCTTATAAAAAATAAATACTGTAACAAATGAAAATAAATCGCGACATGCATTAATAATATAATAGACATGCATTCATTAGCAATAAGACTTCAGGTAGTTATCGCCGAGAGTCATACTGATGCTCTGAATCAATACGCGTTTCCCATCATAGAAGACTTAAATGTCGATGGAATTCATCTCGCACCGGAGAGTTCCTAAAGCTTAGAATTAAACCTATGATGAAGAATCTCGTATACATAATATATAACGTGTACATAATTACTGCAAGCTAGTAGGTACGTGTTGGCGACATAAACATTTTCCAATGTTCTGCGAAGTGCAGGCGCGGCCTTCTGGGAACAGGCAGCGACCGCTATGGATATAGTTCAAATACGTATAACACGGTAATATTTATGCATTACATTACCGTGCGTATATCATCTTTCCGCGATTTTCACTATTTATGCGGATATCATATATATTATGTAGAAACCTACAAGGTACTACCTATTTATGTGTTATAAAATAAGCTTAAGTTGTAGAAAGATTGACGTTGTCTAAAAAAATTTAAATAAAAACATTTCACACACAATAAAAACACAACACAGCCCTTTAATTGGTAATGTCTAGCTACGCAATATTAATTGTTTGATTAATTTAATATTTTTTAATAAATTGATTCATCATATTTGGACCTACTTAAAAACAGTGATAATTATAAATGCTATTATAATATTTTATTTAATTAAAATTTAACATTATTACGCCACCACAACGCCATCTTTTCAGTATATCTTGCGCAAACTAGGGATGTACCTACAAGAGGAAGTTCGTAAAACTCTACACTTCTGGATTCCACTAAAATTTGCTTCCCTAATAAAAAGTACTTAATCAATGTTCTTCCAGCCTTTAGACTATTCGTCAACGAAAATAATGTTAAAATCGATTTTTTTTGTTACCGTAATACACACAAATACCGTATTACACAAAAACATTATAACAGATGTGTTTTACGCATCATTATATTTAGTTTAACTGCCTCGGTGGTGTAGTGGCTAGCATGTACGGCTGCACACCCGGAGGTCCTGGGTTCGAGTCCCGGGTTGGGCCAAGTTTAGTTATTGAGTCTTTCTGTAAAGTAAGCCTCAGTAACAGCCCGGAGTTGGGAAGTTGGCGGTGTTTCACCCCCGTGCCTCGGAGAGCACGTAAATCCGTCGGTCCTGCGCCTTAACTCTCACCGGTCGTATCGAGTGGTCGTCCCACCGGAGTATGAGAGTGATAGGAATAGAGAGTGCACGTTGTGTCTGCGCGTACACTTGAGCACTATAATATCTCCTGCGCAGTTGGCTAGTCTCAATGAGATTGGCCGCCGTGGCCGGAATCGGTCAAGAGAACATCACATCATATTTAGTTTACCACCATACCTACCATTAAGTTTTTAACCCCCGACGCAAAAATAGGGGTGTTATAAATTTAAAGGAGCCTGCTCGCTACACTGCCTCTTACCATGACCGCTAGGACCGTGTCAGGCAAAAAAATATTCTTTGTATTGAAAAGTATGAGACTCTGCCCACTAGACTGTTTTGTCACCGACCGGCACCGTCGCGTGCCGAGCACGGAGCGGTAACAATTGTCGGCGAGAATATTTGGCCAGAGTCGCGCCGGTACGCTCCGTGTTTGGCACGCTACTTTGCGGGGCCAGTGCGCGCAGGCGGCGCAATGGTGAGAATATGCAGCACTAAAACCGTTATGTAAGGGTATGATACGCTGTTCATACGTTCTAGTGGGCATAGTAGTTTCCGTGCCTGATACCTTTATAGCACGGCTCTGGTATGAGACGGTGTAGTGGGCAGACACCTTAACGTGTGAATCTGTGTATCTATATGTGGCATCGTAGCGCCCAAACGGATAAACGGATTTTAATATAGGTACCTACATATTTTTTTGTTTGTAAGGTGACATGATTCAGAGTGTTTTTATAAAAAAAAAACCATTCAGCAGTTTAACAGGCCCACGACTCTTTTTCGGACGGTAAAAGGGTGTGACAACTTCCACAGACCTAATCGGTCAGAAATTTGGTATCTCGTTACTTTAATGACATTGCAATGATATGGTAACCTTGGCCTGATATTGCAGCATGACTCTCAACTCTTTACTAAAATACTGCAGGTATCGTGTTTAGGTCCATTGAAATGGCCCCAATGAATAGGTTATTGTGTCTTTTTTAATTTAAGAGTTATCTATAAGTACATATAATAAAATTGTAACTAAGCCGAATCTGTACATAAAATATTTTTTGGAAAATCTTATTGAAATAAATATTATTATCGATAAAGAGGCCGAATCTATAGTTTTTAGAATTTCTGTCTGTCTGTCTGTTACCGCATCGCAGAAGAACCACTGGAGGGATTTTGATGAAATTTGGTATGGTGATATCCGGTTATCCGGGTCAACATATAGGATACTTTGTACGGCGGGAAAATGTCTCATTTCTGAGAAAAAATACAAAAACTATAATGTAAGAATATACTAATATGTAAAACCTAAGAATTTGAGCCGATGATAGCCAAGAGTCTAGCTATACCAAACAAAGGGTGGCGTTAGCACATACTCGTAGTACAAAACAATATATAATGTAGTGATGTTTACGGTAGCAAATCTTAGTAAAAAGGCACGGCACTGATTTTTCGGACTTAAAACCTTATACTGTAATTGCAAAATATATTTATACGATTGTAAGTTTGGGTTACTACAAAGAGATGCGGCGAGCGGCGCGCGGGCTATGCGACACATTCCGCGCGCGAGGAGCGGGAAGCGAAGGAGCGGACGTCGCGCGCCGCGCGCTCCTAATCGCCGCCGCTGCATACTGTGCTCATTGATTAAACTACTTATATCATCTAGACTGTAATTTCATTCCATATTTATTGAATTAAGACACTTTACGGTGCGCCGTCTGCGCGCCACCAAACATGGCACACAATACAAGCTAATGACGGAGCACGTCTCGCGGGCGGCTCGCGAGTCCACGAGATATACTTGTACATAGACACGTAGGTCGACGGCGATACGCGGTCATCAACATGTCATGATAACGAAGGCAAATTCCTCACCCTCATATGAAATGGATACCCTGTCGCGTACCGCGAACTGAGAGCCTGAGTTAGGCGGGAGGAGGCGTGTCGGCGGGGCGGGGGCGGGGGCGAGGGCGGAGGGCGCGGGACACAGCGGGGTGGTCTAATTGCGTGTGTTTTTGCGGGCGATTCAATCTGTATGCGGCGGCGGGCGGCGGGCGGCGGGCGGCGGGGGCGGGCGCGGCGAGCGGTTCCGCGAAGGTAATTACGGCATCCGCCGCAGCCATCTTGCGGGTGAGTTACGAGCGGCGTGGACAATTATCGGCAATTAATATAAACAGTGGCAGTTGACGCGCCGTGACTTAATGCACCCTAGACGTTATGAATAATCAACAGCTCGCCGAACTGCCGTCGCTTCCAATGTCCGTCCGTGGGCGCGGCCAAGGCGAGATGTGTACCTAGATAGATTCACGGCATATCGAATTTAGTTATCTGTAATCGGAAAGCCATTGCCAGGTTCAGTTTCGGCTCCCGTTCGCTCTCCAGCGCCTCTACGTCCAGTAACGTAACGGTTTGATGGTTATCTTTTCGATAATACTCCTAAGTTACAGTATAATGGGTACCAGCTACCTTTACATTAGGTACTTACAGAGAAATATATTTGTTACAAGATAACTCGACGCACAAATCCAACTCTTGTTTGTATTTTAGTATCGTCGTATAATTTAATGGAAGATTTAAAGAGTTCAATATTATAACGGTGTATCGCCGACTCGATTTAACGGTTATAAAATACTTATGTAATAGACAGACAATGAAATAGAAAAATGAATAAAATATTATGTAGTAAGTACCTACGTGCTACGAAGAAATGCTAAGAATAGCAGATAGGTACAACTCGCGGAACAGATGACAAGTTGTGATGTGATGAAGATGACAGTACCTATTAATTATTAGTATCTGAGTCACCGAGCTTCGCTCGGAGTTTTTGGCCAAAAAAACATAAAAAAAAAACAAACAAAAAATTTGAATAAATACGAGTAAAAACTTGACCGGGACACGAACCCAGACTCCTGTGGTTGTCAAACTATATATATATACAAGAATTGCTCGTTTAAATATAGTAGATAATTAAATTAGTGACTCACCCTCGCTCCGCTCAGGTTCTTCCCTACTTACGTTTTATCGGTTGGTATAGATTTCTCAGATATGAGAGAATTTCCCGCAGTAAAAATTATCCTATATGTTGATCCGGATAACCAGCTGTTGATGACAGCTACCAAATTTCATCAAAATCCTCCAGTGGTTTTTCTGTGATGCGGTCACAGACAGACAAAAATTCTAAAAACTAAACATCGGGCCTCTTATCGATAATAATGTCTATTACAATAGGGTTTTCCAAAACATATTTAATGTACAAATTCGGCTTAGTTTTATTATATTTATATGTAGATGTAAAGGAAAATATACCTAATTATCCATATTATAACGACTAATAATAATATTATAATATGTGACAATATTTAAATTTAAATGATTATTAATTAATTATTCATTGAATATTTTACCAATGTTTGAAATCTTATATGATAGTAGATAAGCGCCGCAGGTAGAGGTAGAGCGTCATACAGTTCGAGGAAACGATTGACGTTCGGTAGCCGATCAGCCGCGCCCGGCACCTGTCCATTGTTAATTAGCTACTGACGACTGCTCGCACTCATCTACACGTCGATCCAAAGTGCACTCTTTGTTAAAGTAGTAAGGTTTACTTCACCCAAGCTGGACTGGAGAGTTATCGGCGGCCAGTCAAGGGACGTAATGTCTGAGATAAGATAATATAATGGTCTTAAACTGTTCGGAAACTGTCGTCATAGAGCGCGTCACTAGCAACGCTGGTCGCGTTGCTAATCGACATCTTTAAATGTAACTTTAATGTATACAATCTATCGGCGAAGCGTCTGTGGGTGGAATGGAGTATAATTACGTGTCGAATACAAATTCGGGAGATAAAGTTGAGATAATAGTGAGGAATGTTTGTCGAACGTAAACTTCGGGAACGCGACGTGCCGCCGCGCGCCGCCGAGGCCGCGCCATTCCCGGGTGCTAATTATAAATAATAATAACACTGCTTATTATTTAGGTGCGTCGTGAACAATTCGGGCATTCCGCAGTTTACGGCGGTTTAACGGTCACTAATCAAAATTCCTCTAAGCACTAATTAGAAGTAAGACGCGGGCGGCGCTCGTCTCCGCGCGTGTAATAAATTAGCCTAATTAATTACCTGCTGCTGAAAAATTAGTGTGAATCACGCACCGCGACCGAGCCTCCCCCGCCCCCGCGCCCCCGCGCCCCCGCGCCCCCTCCCCGCCTGCAAGCCTGCGGCTGCCTGTCACTACGGTCACCCTCGCCATCCATATGACACTGCCTACAGTCTTATTGAAACCCAACCTAAATTGAGAAACATTAAATGATCATTTCGTTTTTTTTATTGAAAATTATTGTTAACTATTCACCTAAACAGAATTATATCTACTATAATTAAAAAATTAGCATAAAGAATAAAAACCAGTTTTAATTATTAAACTATTAATCGTACTTTTAAACTAAAAATTCGAAGGAATTTTGTTGTTACAAAGAGCCGAGTGCTGACCAAACATACTCGTAGTTTTTATAAATCTAATGATCTAACCATAGGTAGATTTATTAAAGCGATGCTTTATCAGTTCTTGCACCTACCTACTTTGATAGTTCGAGTTTTTATTAATATAATACTTACTTAGATTTACGCGAAATTTAGGCATTTTAAATAAAACTGTTTTCGGTTTTTTTACAGCAATCATGGTCGCGGGAGAGACGAAGGTTTTAGACGTCTCAAATTCATTACTTAATTAGTTCTTTAAAAATTATAATATTTATAAGTAATTTCAAAAGAAACAAAAGCATTCTATTAACGTTGGGAATCAAAAATCAAAATAAATCCGCGAAAGAATACAAAAAACATAGTTTTATTTAAAATATCTTACAATATACGTGTAAAAAACACATTCCTGAATTGAATATCTTTCATTTTTTTTTAAATATACATTAGAGTACAAAAAAATCTAAATGAAAATGCTGCATTTATTACGAAATTATAAATATTAATTTTTACACTTGAGAAAAATGTATGATGTAGATAATAAATTCTAAATGAGTCGAATCTGTAGGTAGGTAGGGTAAACCAGAGAGTAATTGGCTACTGACATTGATTGCCCACGTTAAGAAAAATATTGCCAGGTTTTATATTGGTATCATTTTAGTTCGATTAGAACTAACTATTTGGCTCTGTGATTAATGTAAAGTATATTTAAATTTGATAATTGGCAACACTGAAGAAATCCAAACAGTAATGGCGGATTTTGTCAAAACAGATGCATGTGTTACTGAAACAGGTAAACAATTTAGCAATTTTTATAAGAAATTACTTACTTAGAAGTTTATTTTTTTGTATTTTATTTGATATACAACTATTAGAGCATAGTTATGATGAAATCATAAGTATTTTCTTAGTTTTTAATGAAAATATATATGTTGAAATTTGAATGCTAACAGTTATTTCAACCGTGGGTAATCACTGAACCTAATTCTGCATAATATATTTGGTTATTGCTCACTATAATCTTAGTAATTGCCATTTGTTAATGTCTATAGTTATTGCCAGGCAATACTGTCATGGACATTTTTTTTATTAAAATGTGTTACTATCATTATTATGTTTAAAATGCTTAACTTGTTAGCAATCATTAAGCATATATATCTTAATCGTTATCATTGTTACCTTTATAGTATGCCAAAGACACAAAAAGTTCAATATAGTAAAGAGAATTTGCAGAAAGCGATCGAAGCTGTCCTAGATGTTTCCAACAATTTATCTACAAGGCAAATTGCTGAAAAATACGGTGTTCCGAGGTCCAGTCTCCGATACCACATTAAAAATCCGGGACATAAAACCAGCTTAGGGCCATTACCACATTAACTGTTGTTGAAGAAAGTCGTTTAGAAGAATGGTTTATAATTTCGGCAAGAAAAAGATTTTCCCGTAATGAAGAAGATATTTTAAACACCTGTAAAGTTCCTGGTGGAAAACCCGCGCCCTAATTCATTTTTAAATAAAGGCCAGGTGATGGTTGGTGGAAGGCGTATTTGTTTATGTTTAAAGTTTAATTTATTATTGTAAGGTACTGGGCAGTTACTGAGCTGTGATGTTGGCAATACTATAAGTTATGGACAATGACTGTACTCTTTATATGATTTTTATTTCTTTACATTATTTTCGAATTTATGTAAGTTTTAACTAAAAACTATTGATACTCTATTGGAGAGTTTATTAGGTTATAAGAAAAAAGTAATAAACAGTTAATAGCTATAATATTTTTATGACTTTTTGGTGTCAATGTGTTTAAAGTCCTTAAGTGGGCAATAGCTACATATATGGTTTACCCTACATTAAATATTTTTTGGAAAATCTAATTGAAATAGTCATTATATACTTTTTATCGCAGAAATCATCCCTTAAGGGGGTGAAAATGGGGATAAAAGTTTGTATGGGGATCAACCTAGGGACGAACCTGACCGAAGCGAGGGTGAGTCGCTAGTGTCCCAATATACATATTATATAAATTAAGTAATTTTATTACTTTTGTTAAACCCTATGATAAATAAAGAGTGTTTACCTTTAGTTAAATACCTAAACTCTTTGCTTTAGCACAGAATATCATATAGGTAGTGTTTTGGTCTCTCGTGATACCGTTTATTTTAACTCGTTGGATTTGTATTAGGTAGATGCTTTTTAGACAATGTATGCCATTATACACATAGGTACTTATTTGCAATCAATGTTAAACATTACTAAGTATAATATATTATTTCATACTTGAAGTTTAGGTAAGATTATTTTAAACTTGAAACTAAAATTACCCAACTGTCTTGTTGGACTAGTAAGTTCAGTTGCAGAACCCGTGGTTCTGGGTTCGAAGACCGGGTCGAGCTAAGCTAATATCCTTATTGTGCTTCCCTGTAAGAGAAATTCTGTGTAGCCACCCAACGTTTGGCTCAGTTTGTTGTGACCCTACATGCTGTGCCAACGAACGCGGGTTCGAGTCCCGCTGGGGAGATTCATTTGTGTGATGAGCAGGAATGTTTGTAATCCAGTCATGGGTATTTGCATTTATAATATTAATGTATTTAAAAGTTATATATGTGAAGTGTATCAACTATCTGGTATCCACAACACAAGCCTCGTAGCTTACCATGGAACTAGATGGTGCTGTGTGTTAATGTCCCGACTCCCAACATATTTAACGTTAGGAAGTTAGCGGTGTTACATACCCGTGCCTCGGAGAGCTTACACCTCACATCAATCATGTGAGAGGCGTCCCAATAATAGATCATGAAAAACGGAATTAATAAAATCAAATACTTATATAATTATTATTTCCAGTACCCTATCGTCTAAGACGCTTTACGATTAGGTGTACTTATTCGTAAAACAGAACATGGAAAGGTTTATGAAACAACGGTAAGAAATCTTACTTAATTATAGTGTTGTTAATTTAAGGTGCATAACACGGTCGTATAAAATGTTATGGCATAACTAGGTACTGGTGGCTGTCGGTCGAACAATTCCAACAAACAGGAAAAGCGGCGCTGTTGTACAAAAACCATGTTCTGATTAATAACGTTCTTTTTATAGTTAGTTTTTATACTTTTTTACAAACAGTCGCCATGCATTTACACAAAAACGCATAATAAGTCGAATAATAGCCGCTGGTGGTATGTCGTGGCGACAATAAACTACATATCGAGCTTTATTATGAAAAATTATTACGATTCATTGTTTGTGTGAAGGAAAATACCGTTTATTTTTATGGGTGTCATAAAACATTGTTTATTTGCCGTCATGGCGCAGCTCGGTGGCACCGTGGTTTGTTGGCGCTGTCTGTGCGTAGGGGGTCAAAATTTGATTCTCAAATTAGATGAATCTTTTTAAGAGAGGTATCTACTAACATTTGTTGCGATTTTCAATTGAGAAATCAAGTAGATACTTAACGGTTGGTCGTCGTGTTATTTGTTTACCAGTTGTGTTACTACATTCAATACGTTAGCTTTTCCATAGCACGCATGCAACAAATATTTTAATTTGCTTTCGTTTTAAAGACTATATCAGATAATAATATTTAAATGTCCCACGTTAATTGTTATACAAAATATGAGTTTAACCAATAGAGCCGGTACCAGGCCGGTACTACTCGCCGCGCCGCCGCACCGATCTTATCGCAATCGATCCTGACTGTAAATCAATAAAAGGTTTCTGCCTGCGCCCTCTCGTGCCGCGCCACTCATCATAGACATAGATTCTAACAGTACTCCGACCGTAGCTTCTTGATACTTTACTTTACCGGAGGTGGTCACTGGTCAGTATTGTCAGAGTTAACAAAAATGAAATGTTCGAAATATTTCATTTTAGATATTTAGGTATGTCTAAAGTTGAAATGAGTCACCCACGAGCAAACCACACTGTTATACATAGAAGATAATATATTTAATAACGAACATTAACACAATTCCGGAAATGTTAAATTAAAAGAGTGTTACAGTATAATGACATGTAAAAGTCAGTAACTTATTAAAGTTTACTTTGATAACCAAACGTTTCGACGGTAGGTAGCGTCGCAGTATGTCGCAGGGACTAGGGTTGGGAACTGGGATCGATGAGAGCGATCAATATCACGTAAATCAAGTGTTCGAGTTGAATCTAGCGCGACCCGCGGTGGAGTCCACTCATTTAAATTAATTAGCGAGTCATCTTACCGCGGGTGAGGGACGGGTGCGGGACGGGTGCGGGACGGGCGCGGGGCGGGCGCGGGGCGGGCGGGACAGGAATGCGCGATAGTATCGCCACCGCACGGCAGCTCGTCGATTAATCAATTATTAAACGTCATTATTTACAAGGCGGCGCCACCCCGCCTGGCTGCCTGGTCGTCGCAGGGGCCGGGACGGGGAGCGGGACACGATAAATTATAGAAAAACGTCCGATGTCCCTCGATAGAGACGTAATTTACTTCCGCTTGCCTCCTGGCGGGCCGCCTGCCCCGCGACCTGCCACCTGCGCCCTCGCGGGCCCTGACACTGCGCCAACTACAGTTGTGATACCTGTATATTTTAAAATTATAAAAAAATATATTATTTTTCTATCACATAACTTATATGTACCTAACAAAACACTACTATTGTTCGAATCGCGAGTACCTACCTACTTCCGCTCTCGTGTTAGAAACTTATAGGTAGGTATACCTACGACAATTTGATTGATTAAAAATGTCAAAATTGTGAAAATTATGCATTCCGGCTACTTTTTAAAATACTGCACATTGAAATATTTTAAACATACATTAATTGCCGCCTCGCGGCCGCCGGCGGGTCCGCGCTGCGTTTCCCACACGTAGGTATATTAATTAGCCGCAGGCATTCACTACCAAATGCTGTTCGATCGAGATTAATGGCGGTATTAGATACAAATATTTAGGTAATATACAAACATTAGCTATCCGAGGCCCGTCCTCGAACACGACAATCATATATCGGTATCAGAATCGAAGAGGAATTTATAATAGGGAGAGATGAGGCCGACGTCTGTGAGCGCCACTGCCGCGCCGCCGCCGGCCGCGTGTCGTGCCGCGTCAGCGACCGAGCGCGGACATTCCTGGAACTGCAAAAAACTTCCGTGGGTTAGCTCAATAAAATTAGAGAGCTATCTATTCAGATATCCCAGATATGGGGAAGTGGATCAGCGGGCGACGCGCCATCTGCCCCCGCGCCGCCCTTCTAATAAACATATCACTAGCGCGGCGGGCCACTTTCACCCTTCGGCCCCGGACACAGGAGCCACAGTGGAGTGCGCGCGCGCGCATTCCGCGCTGCACCGGCCGAATGCAGCGAATATTCCAACACAATCGTTGTCATACATTAGCGGGCTGTAGCGGACACTACAATGTCCTTTTGTTTGGTAGCACGTGGCTCTGCCGATAAATCATGCCTTATTAAGACCGTCGCGTTGTCGAAGTAAGAGCGCTGCGAGGTGTCGAAATACTCACTCCGTATTATTCGAGTGTTTCTTATGCAACGTAGCGGCATAAATTTCTATTGCGAGATCATAACTTCAAACTTTGTTTTACAGAAGTTAAACGCAATAGGTACACATCAGCGTCTCTAAAAGTATGTAGAATTCCTGCATTAAGTCCGGCGCGAGTAATGCGACAGTAACAACTTACTAGCTGTATTGCGAGGTTTTTGTTGTTTTAATGCGGTATTAAAATAGATAGTGGAGCAAAAAGTTATCCTAATGAACATCTACGGAGAAGTAGTACGCAGCGGCGAGGCGCGGGCGCAGCGGGCGGTGTCGCGCCGTGATCTATCGTCCTCGGCCCGCGCTCGGCATTAACTGCCACTAAATAATATATATGGGTTCTCTACCGTCTCAAGCTTCGTCACTTTATTTATTTTCTAAGATCATAACTACTATAATTACAAAACAAAAATTATTTCGAGTGATTAATTTAACCAAACATTAATTTGGCTAGTGCGTATAATAATTTGCAAAAGTTCTCTCTCGAAGTAGACAAAAATACGCCAGCGGCTTCGGAGCTTCCAATAGTTATGCAGTGATGTAAAAAGCGCGATTAGGTAATAGTACCTACAAAGACGGAATTTGACGAATGGTCGGCTGCGTATCTCGCTCGAGCAGAGAGTGAACTCGGACAGACGAAGGCCGACAAAGTATTCGCTAAATTTTTTGCCGAGCATCGTTGGAGCGGACGTGGCCTCCTTTGTGCCGCCGCGCCGCGTCCGACACCGCCACTTAATTAATACGAGTTCAGACTCGGGAGCAAACAAATTTGCCCGCCCGTAACCCTTACACCGCGACACTACTTTTAATTAAATTTATCGACCTTATCTCTGCGCATCGCGCTCTCCGGTGGGAAACGAATGCGAACGCTCACTCCGCATTTTTAGGATTCTGGATTTGCGTGAGAACTGTTGCGGCCTTCGATCGAAGTATCGGCCGAATAAAGTGATATCGGAGCTCGAGGGAGCAGGTAGACTACGGGGAAACAGCGACAAAACACTGCTTTATAAAGAGATTTGCCGCAGCTATTGTCTCGTCCTGCCCCCGACGGCCGGCGGAGTGCTGATGGAGAGGCCGCAACGTCTAATTGCGAGTTCATTTATACATTATGCCTTAAATGAGTTTCTATTAGGTAGAACATAGTTTAGGTAATTATTAGAACTTAATTGAAAAGACTTATATTGAGCATTATTTTACTGACATACAGAGGTACCTACTTGTTTTATAGATAATCTTATCCCCTCTTTAAGTATTTTATGGTAAAGATTATTAAATTGGTTTATAATACTTTCATTCAATAAGCATTAGGTATACGAGTATATGGTTCTAAAAGAGTATTTAATTTTTAAATGTATAATGGAACAGTAGTTGATGTTACATGTCTTACCACGGTATGGAACTCGCAGTGCGGGTCACATAACTCAGTGCGTCGAACGTTGTAAATTAGCGAGTCTCCAATGACATATTGAGCGGATCATTTTTTATGGCGAGATTGACAAATGATGAGACGTCATGGTGGTGGGATGGAGAGGGCCTCGGAGGGCAGGAGAGAGGGAGGGTGCGGGAGGGGGCTCGACAAAAAGATTGATGTCGTAGGCTGCGATACGCATCTAGGTGGTGTGCAGGCTGTGCTCCCAGGCCGCGCGGCGGGGCGCCCGCGCGCGACATCCGTCTTGCACTGTCACCACGTCTACCAAAATCACTAAAATATTTCATTGCTCGTATTATGTTTGCTTTCCTGCTGTTTCTAACTTACCGCTATTGATTAGAATTGATTAAAATAGAAATTTATAGGTTAGTCATTTGATAGTGACGACGGATCCCGAAACACACTGTAAACTTTAACTAATGTCATTTTTAAAACATTTTTCTTTATGATATGTGTATACTAAGATATCCTCAAAAAATATTTTTTTTAAACGTATACCTATTCTTTCGCTGTAAGTGAGGACTATGTATAGGTACATCCAAGAATAAAAATAATAAATCAAATGAAATCAAAATATATTTTAATAAAATAGACTTTCACGAGCACTTTTGATTTTTGAATCATCAATTTTTACATTTAGTTTTCTTCTTATTGGCTGTTTAAAGTTCTAAGAAGAAGGAGGTTATGTTTGATCCATACGTTGTTTTTTATGTATTTCTACCGATTTCTCGGATACGGCCAATTTGCCTATTTAAATGCTATTCTATTAAGGAAAATGTCCAGTTATTTTTTTAGAACAGTTCACATGATGAGTTGCCTTTGTGTCTACTTACGTATAACAAAACAACTTTTTACGTAAAGGCCATTTGAAAAAGTTTCCAAAGCAGTAAATGATCATTATTTAATGTAGAATGTTATGTACATTTGTTATTGATATACATATCACTGAGCGTGTTACTTTACATATAATCTAGTGTGTTAATGTTAAATATGTATATTGTAAGTGTGCTTATGAAATAAATAAAAATTACCACGGAGAGCATAAACACTGCAAAATAATTCCTTACTAATATTATTAATAAGAGGGATCGATATGTTTTTTTGCATAAAAATCCAAACTAAAGAGTGACATAATAAAGCATATTTTTATACCTGTATTTATATCACTCAAACTTCCTGTAGGAACACTCTACCTATGTTACGTATGATCAAAAGTCGCCAAGTCAGTAGACACTCGATATAGTAAACATGGTTTTTTGTGTTAGTCAAAGACTACATATTATGTATGTATTGATGTAGCCAGAGTAAAAATAAAGCTATAGGTATGGGTCGACCTAAGCAATTGTAACTAATATAGTTACAATAAAATTGTAACTAAGTCCAACCTATACATTAAATATTTATTGGAAAATCTTATTGAAATAGATATTTTTATCGATACAGAGGTCGGATCTATAGTTTTTAGAATTTTCGTCTGTCTGCCTGTGACCGCATCACGGTAAAACCACTCGAGGGATTTTAATGAAATTTGGTATGATGATGACTGGTTATCCGGGTCAAGCTATAGGATACTTTTTAATGCGGGAAAATATCACTGAGAAATCTATACTAAACGTTAAAACGTAATTAGCTCGCTAGTAACCGGATAATATTTAAACTTATTTTGAAGATTCTTTCACAAATGGAAACATACATTGTCGCTTAGCAACGTAGCTTATTTACATCGATCGAAGTTAGTGGTGGTTTATATAGGTACGTTACATGTTTCCTTACATTATGTCATGTAGGTATCGACTTCCAATATTGGCTGCGTTGTCACGAGGTGGATAGAAATAATAATAAATCCAAAACGTAATGTTCGAGCGCATTTAAAATTAATAACGTCCATGCGTCACAGTAATTGCTTGTAACACTCCAATATTGTACGTTATAAATAATAGAAACTTGACACGTGGCTGCCGGGATCCCCCGTTGTCGAGATCATAATAAATTGTCCATAAAATTAATATACGGATCAGTTCCTAGCGACGCGCGGGACTGATGCTGTCGGAACGAATATAATATGTACCTACCTAATAACATTTATTCAAAACATACGTTTTATTCGCTTAAACAGAGTTACTACTTAGTTAAGAAAAGGTTGAGATTTTGATGTTTTATTTGATATATAAATTTTTACAAATATTCCTGCATAAAATTATTATTATATATTTAATTATATTAGGTACTAGCATTGCCCGCGGCTCCGCCCGCGTTCAGATGACCAAAAACCAAATTCTTAGGTTTTACATATTATATTAGTATACGCTTACATTGCAGTTTTTGTATTTTTCCTTAGAAATGAGATATTTTCCCAGGGTAAAAAGTATTCTATATGTTGACCAGGATAACCAGCTATCATCATACCAAATTTCATCAAAATATGTCCAGTAGTTTTCTTGTGATGCGGTAACAGACAGACAGACAAAAATTCTAAAAACTATAGATTCGAACTCTGTATCGATAATAATGTTTATTTCAATTAGATTTTCCAAAAAATATTTAATGTACAGATTCGACTTAGTTACAATTTTATTATATGTGTAGACTTCACAAGCGACTTCGCTTCGTTCGGCTGCATCCCTAAATAGTCCATCTAGGCGATAAGGTCATACCGAGTCCATCTGTTTGTTAAACTTCATCCAAATCCGTTTAGCTATTTTAGCGTAAAGTGAAACAAATATATATACATACAATGTATTTATAACAGTAGTCTCATAATGAAAAAGTTTATTAACTTTTTTACTATGCCAAATGTAACAACTCATCCCATAAATGAACTTAATCGTTTGTGCGATTTGAGCAATAATCGCTGGTTGTCATGTTCGCTTGCGTCCCCGCGAGTGTGGCTCAGGGAGTCAGGCGGCGTGCAAAGTGTTTGCACGTCTATTAGCATCGATTACGTGCTCTCTGCGTGATATCCCGACGTACTGCGCCCGAAGAGACCCACCTACAGAGGGAGCCCTCTCGAACCCTATCTCATCTTCCCTACATCCTCCATTACGTGTAATCAAATTGTAAGGGTGAAATTGTTAATGAAAATATTTGAAGAATTCACCCTCAAGTTCTTTTGAGTAGCAAATTGTCGAATATCGCTCGCTGCGCTGTGATCTAGCCTCGACGGTGGAGGGAGTAAATATGAAGAGTATTCACTGTGACTTGAAAGAGGCGTTTAAGATACCTTTGTAATGCGAACCTGTTTTTATTTAAAATAGGGCTAGGTATATTTAACGTTCATTACAAAATTTTCTTTTATTAATAAACGAAGTTCTTTAAGTAGGTACTACCTACGCTTACCTAGTTACTACAATTGATTAGTAGATGTTTTTAATTAAGTAGTAGTACCTGGGCTACCGAGCTTTGCTCGGAGTTTTTGGCCTAAAGTAGGTACAATTTTCTTTTTCTTTAAAAAAACTAAAAACTTGAATAAATATTAAAAAAAAACAAAAGTAAAAATTTGTATGCGACTGAGATTCGAACCTGGACACCTGTGATTATTGATCTTGCGCGTTGGCCGCTTGACCACGATGCTTGTGCCCGTACGTGCAAATTACTGACCATATTTTGCGTGGAATAATGCAAAAAAAACTGCATGAAAACTCAAAAACACGCGTTTTCTCAGACATGTTTTTTTTATTTATTTACTTATTTATTTAGTTTATCAAGTTGTACACAATACACGATTACATACATATACAACGATATTTTACAGTTTGCAACTTATAATGATAAACACCGCATGCATAGTGACAGGAAAAGTGGCGTTTGACAAAAAAGGTAAATTTTGAATAAAATAATAAAAACAAAAATGACACGTAAGTAATAGAAAAAAGAAACAAAATAAAATAATAAAATAAAAAAATTATACAAACCATACGAGATCTACTTCATAAACAGTAATATTTTTTTTTAAACAAAATGTCTCCTTCTCTACATTGTATTGTTGGCTACTTTATTCACTTTTATGTATAAAGCTACAGTTTACAAAATGCGACGAAAGCGACACATTTTCTTAAAGTTACCAGTTAAAATAAATATCTTATCTACCTAGTACCTATCCTATTCATGTTATAATAATACTTAATTAAAGCGGTTACAAAATGCAAAATTATAATCTAATAATATAAATGTGAAAGTTTACATGGATGTTTGGATGTTTGTTACTCAATCACACCAGAACGGCTGAACGGATGAGGATGTGGCACAGAGACAGATAATAGTTCCCGTGGCATAGATTTGTTTTTGTTATTCAAGTTCTATATAAATTAATACTAATTAATTACACACATATAAATAAAGATGAAGTTAATTTTAACAGTTTTATAATTAATATGCCGACAGTGTGTGTACCGATACGAGTAGCGACTGAGTGATGTCATTAGATACCTACAAGAAGGCAGCGCGCGGCGGCCGCGGGGCGCTGAGATGCTTTTCATTACAGCAATTGCGCTATTTCACGCTCCGCCTCCGCCTGGCGTCGGGACTTCCCCGCGACGGAGTAACGACTGCACTCATTCACCTTATTTATTGTCTCTGTAATGGAGTTGAAGGCGCGAACAAGAAATAAGAAAATGAAACCATTTTTATATTTCAAAAAAATAAACATTAAAAGCCAAAATACATGCTTAGTATAATTATTAATTCAAAAATGTTAGTGCGCTGACTCAATCTTATCAAAGGTATTTTAGTGAGATACAAGAGACCATATTGTCTTGATGTAAGTAGATATCTTTATATATATAATTCTTCTGTGAGTGTGTATGTCACTGAACTTCTCTCAAACGACTGGACCGATTTTGATGAAATGTTTTGTGTGTGTTCAAGGGGATCTGGGAATGGTTTAGATTCACAATTTGAATAATAATTTTCATCAATAAAATTATTAAAAAAAGTTTGAAATTTTCAAATTAAAGACGTGTAGACAGGACAACGTCTGTCGGGTCCGCTTATAAACAAAGGTAGAGGAGGTCGTTTTTGCATAATATCTAATCATGTTTGTGAGTGGCCAAAACATCGTGGCTGTCCCTTTTAAAAGTTATGATAATATTGTAGGGTTGCATTCTTATATATTGAGTGTTTTAATAGAAAATAATATATTTGATTAATTTGTAATGATTTATGTATAAGGCGTTTACTTATGTGTCCTTGGCCGATAGGAATGTGTTTTAAAAAAATAAAAAAGGGCGCCGATATTCATTTGTTTTCCCGCGCTTTTGCTCAAAGATGTCGGCACCACCCTGTAGGTCACTACGAATTGTTTGTAATATTGAAAATTATGATTATAAATTATGTAACTCACTAACGTTTATAAAAGTACTGAATATAAGAATATAAGCAAGGAATATCTCGAGGTTTTATTAGGGACTCTACAATATAAATTTTAAGTAAGTTGCAAAAAAGGTAAGTCTTTACATTTAATTTTATCATTCATATTATTTCCTATCAATTAAGCATTTTCGCGGGTAATGTTGTGGAATATAGCGGCAAAAGCTCTTTAGATCACGGTGCGGACTACAGTCCACCAAATTGCACCGTGAACTTAATTCGTCGAACCCGTTGTCGGGAATCGGGGGTGAAACGTGACTTTTGCACGGACACGTGCTCCAGCGTCCCGAATTAATTACACCTTTCTTCCCTCTACACTCCCTTGGACTTTCGACATTAAAAGCTTCAAACTTCCCTAGGTCACAAGCCCTTTGATAATTTTACAAGAGCTTATCTGTCACACTTCGTTTCACAAACATGTTGTTTACAAAATAAAATATAGCTAACACAATAAAGAAGAAGAATAAATATGCTTTTTTATATGTGACTAAGCTTTCTTCTCTAAACTGCTGTTAGAGTTTTGACAAACAAAGAGTGTATTTCTACAAGGCCGATATTGAGTAAATTTTTAGTTTAATAAGTATACATAATGACAAGTACGAGTAGGTATCTACGAGTAACTTACCTAAGTAGACATTGCAATCAAACAGTGAAACATTATTACACATAGACCTATTCAGAAATAATAATTGTACAAATCTCGCAGGGAGGTGTTCTTAAAAAAAATTCAATTAAAAAATAATAATGGAGATTATTACCTAAAGGATTAGATAAATAAGGCTGACCTATTGCAGCGGCGGCTAAGCATGTGGAATGCGACAAAAAGGCCGGGTTTTGGTTTTAGTAGATGTTTGCTACAAAATTAAGTACATACAATTTAGTAAGTGATCTGAGCAAATTGCATGGTGACGAGTATGGAAGAGAACAGCGCGGGTGCCATGTCGTATGAGTATCGTGTCGTGTCGTGGTACGTGGAGTCCCCGTGGCTCATGGTGAGTGAGTGAGACAATATTAATTCGTTTTATGACAAGTAAAATTTAAGCATAATATGAATACCGCCCTCACAGCCTACGAATACTAGCAGCCTTATCAATGGCGCTTCAAATGCTTTAAATTAAGTGCAGTCTGAAGTTTGATTCGTCTATAGACGACTATAACTGTTAACTATAGGTACTATTATAGTTATTTTAACGGGAAAGAGAAATTAAAATCATTCAATCAAATAAATTAACGTACAAATTATTAATTTTTATATTTTATACAAGTATTGTCCCACGGGTCCGCCCGGAAATGTTTTTAACTTTTAGTAACTTATCTGATATACCTAATATTAAGCTGATAAAGCTTTTATAGATAACTGTTTTATGATGTAGGTATCTATTAAATATTTTTAACGAACAAATAAATAAAGTAATTTAAATTACATATGTAGGTACTATACAAAAAATTATAAAGCTGGTATCTGTATATCCCATGACACAAGGAGGCGCGCGCGCATGCCCGCGCGGCGCGGCGGGGTCGGGAGTCAGGGCGGACACGTGCGCGCAATATTATTAAAGTTTTCATTACACGAACTTATTCCTTTCAATTCCTGCCCCGTATTGTGAGTACACTTGTTCCGCATCGAGGGCCCATTGACGACGCGCCGCCGCGGCCACCTGCGCCGGCACTGTGCCATATTACTTACTGCACACTCGATCCGCCAAGGTTACCTTAACATAAATTAATTTAAAATATATTAATGTTTTTTTTTAAATTTAATCAACATGAGATTTGTTTTTGTTTTTTATTTTTTCATTTTTTATATAGATACTTGATTTACTATCTAATTATTTGCACAATAATGTATAATACATATGTAGGTGGTCACACCTATTCAAGAAAAACAAAGTACAGGCAATATATACATTGTTATTTTAAGATAGCCATATAAGAAACTATTTTGTAATTGTAAAGTATAATTGTAAATGAAACATCTGCTTTCATAAAATTATAGTTACTATTTATATTAGAATGACGATATTACATACGCTTAAATATATGTATGTTTATTTCGGAGCATATTCAATTGTTCACGAGATAATTTGACGAGAGTGATAAGTTAAACAAGTGAGCGGCCCCTCGCGGCTCGCCTCGTCTAATTCGCTACACACAACATTATTTGATTTTTAATTTGGCGCAGTGCAGTGGAGCCGGAATGCGCTTATTGACTCACTCGAGTGCCCTTCACCCTAACCTACCCTGGCGAGCGCCACCGCTTACCCGCTTTCATATAGCTAAAAATATGGAAGATATTTTAAAACAAAAAATAAATTGGATCATTTTTATGTTCCAGATCCAGATATAGTGAAAAAATATTATGTGATTTTCTTTTTATAATAATAGACGAGCGAATACGTAGCGACGGAGTAGTCGAGTACGGGAGGGTCGCGGCCAGGGCGGGCATATCTATTCGCAATATCTGCTTTTATTAGTTTTTTCGTGGCGACAACCCTCCCGGAGCCGCATATTTGCTTTGATGACGCTCCGGCCGAGGGGTCCTCGATATGGAGACATTCGGGGACGTTTATTGTCATTGTTCTGAAATTCATTACACGCGCCCCACTTTATTCATACGACACAATAAAGCCGGTAAACCGATTAGTCGGATTTAATACGCTAGATCGTCTGGAATGCGGGAAACGGTACGAGACGTACGAGATGTATGCTAACAATTAGCGGCCTGTGTCTTAGAAAATTTCTCATTAAAGCGGTAAATATTTGAAGTGGTTGGCAAATAGCTGCGCTGATATACGACGAGCTGGAAACGTGCCAACTTCGAAAAACCACAGAAAAAACCACTTAAAATAATTATTTTAATATGTTTTACTAAAATTGAGGAATAGGGTGGTTTCACCTGTTTTCGGCCATTTAAGCAAACGTATGACTACGAAACTATTTTTTTCGATGATACTAAGGTCGCAGATAAGTTTTCCAAATATTTTCGAACTCAAAAGATAATGTAGTTTTGATATTTGTAGCCCCTTTACTTGACAATGTCATATTAAAATTACTAGAAACTAAAATCTCAGAAATTTGCTATTTAGTCTGTTTTCGGCCACTAAATTTGGTTTCCGGCCATTAATTTGTTTAGTTCTCGGCCCCCATTTAACAATTTGAAAAATTATCTCTATTTGTTCTTGAATAAGATTTATACTACAGTAAAACGAAATAATACATACGAATCAACAATTTTAATTAAATTTTCACACTATAACAATGTTTTTAGAAACATTTTTGTACTATAACAGTAGATTTTAAATTATATAAAAAAAAGAAAATAATAATATGGAAAAAAATATAGATGATCACGAATTTAATATTTTGAATTACGTAATCAAAAAATATCAAATTCGTGATCATCCTCATCTTCTTCATAAATATCGTATATCTTAAAAGTTTCATCGCTGGGAATGGTTTTAGTTACATCTATAGCTGTTTCACTTTTATGAGACATTTCTTTATCAATCTTATCTTCACTTATTTTATTTATTTCTTTTATATCAATCTTTTTTATAATATTCAATTTATCAGTCTTTTCGATTACTTTAGTCTTCTTAATATTGATTTCTATATCTTTATCGGTATTTATAATATCACTATCACTTTCTTTGGCTTTTGTTTGTTTTCTTTTTGGGATATTAGGTTTTATATTGTTTCTATTAATGATCTTAAGTTTTTTGCGGATTCAGTTCGGTTTTTTTTGTTCTCTGTCCGCTTTCCTTTTATTTTTTTCGTTTATCTTGTTTTGTTTTTCTTTTTCTTTAAAATCGTGAAAATCTCTCCAAGCTTTTGAAGATATGGCACTAGGAAATTTATGAATGTTTTTCTTAGTAGTTTTTTTCCCAGATGGACTAATGGGAAATGTTAAATGATTTTTAAATGGATCAATTGGCGTATCATTTTGGAGAGTACACGAAGTGTTTACTAAATTTTCTTTATTACAATTTACGTCATTACATTTTTGATGGATCGATTTTTTTGGAGACGATGGGTTATTGTGATCTTCAGCTACTGCTATAACTTTTGGCGTAAATTCTACATTATTATTTTGAATAGGTAGCGATTCCTGTGCTAAATAATGCTCTTAATCTCCTTTACAAACGTGGTCCATAATTTTTATAGTATTTAAGTCTTCAAAATCTATGTCAGTTATTTTTAAAACAGAAATATCACTTAATGATACGTAAGATTTAATATCAGGAATTTAACTATTAGTAAGCAAAGAATAGCCTTCATTATCATTACCTCCTACAGTGATATCTATAACTCCTCTTTCAATCAAAAAACATTCAAGATCTGAAAACCATTTTCTGATTAAGCTCTCTCTGACCGCCTCTCTGGCTTTATTAATACTTTCAGGTTCACGTACGCTAATCTCCGGATGCCTTCTAAGAAAATTTTGCTACCATGTCTGTCCCGGTCGCCCTTCTGGAAACTTATTTTCTCTTCCAATATTTTTAATTATTTTTGCAACATTTTCCAGCAATACCTCTTTGCTCACAGGAATCCCACATTTGGCTAATTCTGTAATCCAGTCTACAACTTTTTGCTCACCATCAATGCCTAGTATAGGCTCTGGACCTACTTTTCGAGGTTGTTCTTTAGATCTGCCGGAAATTCGATCTTGAACTGTTGAGCGAGGGACACCATAGTGACGGCAGGCCTCTCTGACGCTTTTATTTTCTGTTCTTATGGCCTGGACAGCTTGTGCCAATGCTTCTTCAGTATATTGGAAATGAATCCTCTTATTTTTAATAGTATGTTTAAGTTTATTTCTCCCAGGAGGCATCTAAAAGTAAAAGTAACATTATTATTACTACAATATGGCTTACACGCGATTTTATCAGTGTAAGTCTCCAAAACTATTCTACAGAATTACCTATCAAGATAATAAAAAAATATATTAAAAAAATAAAAAAAACCCGACTTCATAAAATCTTACTAAAAAGATTACAAGTTGACAAAGGAATATAGTATTATGCAGTCGGAGACATAAACATATACATATCGCGACAAGGATGAAACGTGTATGTCTACGACTACATAATACTATATTCATTCGTCAACTTGTTTTATCTTTTTAGTTAGCTTATATGCAATCGGGTTTTTAATTTTTTGTTCTTTCAAATAGGTCTGAAAACTAACTGTATGTTAACTAATTTTCGGCCACCTGCTTTATTACTGGCCGTAAACTAAGTTTTTATGAACCGATTTATCGGCCCCCCTTTATACGTGGCCGATAACCAAATTTAAATTAATTAATTTTCGGCCGTCTTATTGCTAGTGGTCGAAAACTCACTTTGATGTACTTGTTTTCGGCCGTTGTTTAACTTGTAAAAGTTTGCGACTGACCAATAAGACGGGTCTTGGGGAAGTCATTTTATGTCTGTATTGTTTGTCTGACTGGCGATTTTTATTCAATTATTTCATTTATTGTCATTTACTGTCGAAATTTTTTTCTGGCCGAGCATCGGTAAACATATTATTAGTTTTCGTCCATACCCATTATACCTAGGCCGAAAAGTAATTATAACAACTCTAATTTTCGGCTGCCAAATACAAAATAACAAAAAAATATTTTTCACCAAATATTAACTCATAACATGCGGCCGAAATCTGACTACATAAATGAGGGAAGGTTATATTTTGTTTTAAAAAATTTTTTTTAAACGTATTCCTTAAATATTATATAATATATTCTATTATATTTACAAAGCTATCTTTTAGTTCTCGGCATGCCGGGCGAAAAACAGATGGCCCCCCAAAACCTTATCTAGTTACCCGACCATCAAATTTAAATATATAAAACCTTATCTTTCATCCATTTTAATTAAAATAACACAAATTCAAATAATCACCAATTCAGAGTAATAACAATTATCTTTATCAAACCTTAAACAATTTAGTAACTTACCTTGCAAAATTTTCTCGCGCCCTATTTTTTTTGTTATTATTATGACACACGTGCACTACTCGACTTTCGGAGGCCCACTGACGAGACAGTTGGATCATTATAATGCAACAAAGTTCAGAAGGCGTAGGTTTGATTGGAAAAAATATATTTGACGTTGATTTTTAAATGAGGAGAGTAATGATTTCTTATTATCATCATAAAACTACGTCGTGGCCGAAAACCAAAGGTGGCCGGCAAACCGGCTAAGCTACCCTATGTATGTGATTTTTAATAAATAAAGTGTCGCATTTTTTTACAACAATGGTCACATTGAAATTGGGAATTCATAAATATAAAATAATAAATGAATCTTATTAAACGTGTAATCTTGAGTTTTTTCTTGCCATCGAAGAACAATAACAAGCACTGAGATATACCGTGGGAACTGCTTCAGTTCGAACTCATCTCGCGCGTCCGTTCCGAGAACAGCTATCTCCGGCGATATCGTCCGTCACCCGCACCGCTGCGATCAAACCATCCGACATACCGGTCCACTCTATCCACAGTAATGAAACCTAGAATAATCACAAATAAATAAATAACCTGACCAAAAATAACCCTTGCGAAAAATACATTTTGCTATTTATGTAAATATGTATGTATATATTAAGTCCACAAATACGCTCGTTAAACTCTTCAATTTCGGTGAAATGCTCGTAAATCGTGAATGGATTCTTGGAGTAAACGTGTGTGCCCTAAAAAGAAAAATCATTTAAATTTAAAATATCTCATTAAAGTAGCATAAGTGATAAAGAAAATTCTAACTAATGCTTGAGACGTTATTGGGTCACATTGCAGTTACGCATGACTTTGTATGTATTGCCATAGCCACCATGTGCAGGCTCGAGGTGCGTTGTGTGCGTGGCGGTTTGCTCGTGTGTGTGCGTCTACACAGTGTCTGTACGCAACATGCAGACGCGTGTGTGAGCGAGGGTGTGCACGTGTGTGAGTGCGACCACTCGCTAATAAATGCCTGTTTAATAAACATACCGCCTGTATCGCTCTAATTGCTGTCACATTGCTATGCCTATGAATTTTCATAAGGCGAGCCTTGCATTCATAAGATCGTCGTCTCTAGTATGTTTGCATTTTTTTGTAAATTTGATGAGAAGTGACACTTCTACTTGTAAAAAATAAAAATTACATAAGCTTAGCACAGTTGTTTTGTTTCATATGCGTATCTATATACATATGTATGTCTTACAAATTTACTAAGTTTTATTAAAGGATAAATTTAGTTTTGACAAGTAAGTAAATAAATTTTTAATATATTTTTATGGCTTGTTCATTTTAAGTTTGAATAATATTATTACTCATTTAAATCACGTGACCGCTATTTCATAGGTAGAGTTATCTCCTATCTTTTTCTTAGAGCTAGCGGTCTTATATTCCTCGAACAACAAGCAACTTTGATGTCGACCCGCGATCGACGCAGCTCCTGACTAATAAATCTGTCTCCCAGCAAATTCACAGGTCGTTGCCCGACGAGGAAAACTGCTGGGATTTGTTGTGGAATCTATTTCAATACTATGTATATGTTTATTGTTTTAATGTTTAGGAACAACGATTTATTTTTATTACAATGTTATAACATATTACTTTCTTAAATTTACGCGCATATTTGACATTTTAAATAAAACTATCTTTTCGGTTCCCGACGTTTCGAATGCTTTACAGCAATCACGGTCTCGGGAGAGATTAGGTTTTATATGTCTCAAAGGTCATACCTACATACTCGTTACAGACAACTTTACAAAATGATTTTAGGTTACAATACTTAAATTACTATTTCTTGGTAAATTTAATACACCCAAATATGAAAAAACATTCGAGAAAAAGATTAAAGGGTAATTGTTTTTCATATAACATTAATTATTTTCATATAATTTTGCAGAGGTCAGTCACTTCAGAGGATCTTTATTGGGTTTCAGTACCTACGGCGGGACACGGGGCGCAACAATAAAGGCGCAGCGAGCGCGGCGCGGACGCGGAGGGTCAGTTAACTATTTTAATGGGTTTTTCTCTTGCAAAGGGCCTGCATTATTAAATTCCTCTTCGAAATTAAACGCTCTCGTCTCGTTTCGCATTCACCTGTCTAATTCAAATACGACGGGAGAGATCTGTAGCTTGAGTTAAAAAGGCACATATCGCCGTCCCCGGAGAATAAAATGATTACTAATATTACCATAGTTTTAGTGTTATCCCATAATTGAAGTCTACGGTGCCTAATACATCTACCCACATTTTTTATTCAAAAAGTTATAGAATAATGCACCTTCGTCACTATTTCAAACACACAAGGCTTCTTGAAAAAACTTTTTAACAAAAAAATTAAAACCGACTTCAAACAAAAGCACTAAAAATAAGAAATTACTGATTGGTAGTTTTCATTTACTATACATACCTAATCAAATATTTTCGAAGTCGGTGTGCTTTGGCTAAGTAATTAAAGCCTACCTATTAAATACATACCTAATCAAATATTTTCGAAATCGGTGCCAGCCCATACAAAGCAAAGCACACCGACTTCGAAAATATTTGATTACGTATGTATACTAAATGAAAACTACCAATCAGTTATTTTTTACTTTTTAGTGCTTTTGTTTGAAGTCGGTTTTAATTTTTTTGTTAAAAAGTTTTTATTTTTCCCTTTTTAGTGTAGACAATAGTAGCAAAGTAAGAATTCTAAAGTGTTAGGCTTGTCAAACCAAACAAAATAAGCCCAAACTCAAAGTATCTACTATTAATCGTTGAAGAGTTCCACCTATCCACCTTCTGGCCTTACCATCAGATCAGGTCAACAATACCGAACCACTGTACTATCAACGGAAATAGAAACACTTGCAAAGTTTCAAGTCAATATGACAATTAGAAGTAGGTTAAATTCATTATTAGCTATTTTTCCACCCTTACGGGTGGTATTTTTTTTTTTGAAATTTAAATGGGACCAATCTGGAAGTATACCCTTTCAAACAAAACAAAAATTGTCCAAATCGGTTAATAAATGACGAAGTTCTGAGGTAACAAACATTAAAAAAAAATACAGTCGAATTGAGAACCTCCTCCTTTTTGAAGTCGGTTGAAAATAATATAATATGACGTTAATCTGTATTATTCGTAAAATATATAAATTAATATTAAATAAATTGTAAAACAGTAATGCAATACTCACAATCTGTTAAAAGTAACGAGAATAAAATGCTAAGTGTTATTGTAAATAAAACCAACAACAAAATTTTAGTAACTTTTTAAATTCTAAATATCTTCAGTTCGGATTGCTAGTACCTATAACATATATTAAAGTGAAAAAATTAGCTATCATTGAGCTTTTTTTATCTCTCTACATCTATCCAATTCCATGGTAATATTTCTATTGCTTAGAAAGTTAAAGTCAAAAATAGTTTTTTTTTTATTTTTCCTGAAAAATGGTGTTTTTGTAGTTATGATTTTATTCTCCGGGGGCGGCGATATGTAAACTTATGAGGTACAGAACTAGCTAGCTCTTTATGTTTTAATGGCGATGAAAAGGTTATATGTATATGTGTAACAATATCATCTAATGAGAAACAAAATAGTTAATAAATAATTATATGAAAGGCAGCATTCTTACATTTATAATCGAATAGGATTATTTGGCAAATCAAATATTTTGTGATATTTTTACTATTTCTTGTTACCATAAGATCTCAGATAGATAGATAAATACTTTATTGTACACACAAAAGAAGAGTACAGAAGACGTAAGAAAATCTTAGTAACTTAATATGTGAAAAGTGACTAGAAGATTTATTTACAGCTACTTCGCGAAGCGGTGTTCTCGAACAATTTAGGTGTACTAGCAAATGTACATTAGATGTAATTAGAATGAAATCATTGAATTGACCCAGAATGCTTGTATTTGACGGTAAGTGCGGCTAGCGGCTATTTCAGATGGTGACAATCAGCGCCATGCGTCAATATGTCACGCGTGTCGCTGCGCCCGCGCATGCCGACGAGCACGCACACGCGCGCACGCGCACGCACACACACGCACACAGCGCGTCCAACAAACCGCCCGAGCAGATTGACATAATGGCCGAGTTGCTAATTAGTTTTATTTTCATTTATCGTCCGATTCCCGGCTTAAATAAGATTCCTCTTTTTATACGTCTACATTGTTTTCTACATTTCTCAAATGTTAACCCAGTTACTAAAAGTCTGTGTTATGTTAGTACTTTATATTGCTTTCTAAATATAAGAACTAATTTTATAAAGTGCAATCCCCCAAGGGGAGTGATGTAAATATCTTTATTATTTAACAGGTGTAATAAATACTACATAATACACATTTTAAACTTAGCATAAGTCAAATTTTTATGGAGTTCAAATGTGACTTACTACTCGTAGGAGCACGCTCTTACTTGTCTCTCAGCTGAGTTGTGCGAGT